AGAAGGCTGAGAAGGAGAAAAACAAAAAGGGAAAATATGTAGAAAGAATTGCAGACGTTCTCGTAGCATATGTTTTGTCCCAGCTGCTGGCATTTCTTTAAACACTCGAGTGATATTGATCAGTAGGGATAAGTCAGCAGTGCAATCATCTGGTTTGTTCCCTGTCATCAGATTTACCAGTTATTTTTTATCTTGTTTTATTTTAAGCCACTAAATAGTCTATGTTGCCTTAAAGAACTTGTTCAGTACAAAATCATCGTGTTATCACTTTTGTATGCTTGTAGGAGTAAATCTTAATTACAAAAAAAATATATGGTTATGCAACGAAAGCAGGTAAGTAGGTTTTCAATCATTAACTATATTTTTTTTTCAAAAACTATAATTATTGACTTGAAACTGATTTGCTATTTTGTAACAAAATTGACCATGAACCTAGAGTAACCAAAAGCAATCCAAAGTAAAGCCTTCACATACCAAGTTGCATTCAACTATCTCTTACCAAACTCTTGTTATTGAGCGGATACTTAACTTTTAATTTTTAGTAACAACTTCTTTGACCTTGACCCTTGTAAGACTTAAATCAATACCAAGGGAGGTTTTTTCAATTATACCCTAAAAATACACAAAAATTAATTGATAACCATATAATAACCAGAAGTTCAAAAAAATGAAAATCTTGGTCAATAAAAGCTATTCAGCAATGTCCAATCATTTAATTGTTATGCATGTTTTTTTATCATCAAAATCTGGAAAAAGGGGATCCATCGAAAGCTTCAAAAAAACAGAAAAACTTACTTGAAAATTGCACAGTCGGTTTGATTGAGTCTGTACACGGCCTGACATGAAGCAAAACTGAAATCTCCCTAACTTCAATGTTCTTTTTTTTATTCATGATAAATTAAACACACAATGTGCAAAAAGCGCATATATTTCAGTTTGACATGTATTTGTTTATTCTAGCAATGTACGTCGTTTATCTTAAGGTAGTTAAAATAAGTTTGTAACGTTTTGATTATCACGCTCACGGATAGTGTTCAATAAATTTGGCCAGAAATGTGTGCAGGATATACCGTATAAAGCTGCAAATGCACTTGCTGAAACAAAAGTCGGGGAATACAGGTAACGCAGTCCGGATTTTTAGAAATTCACTCTGAAAGCCGGAGTCGGAGAATAGGGGTTACGTAGTACACTTAAAATCATTGATTAATCTAGCATTCAAACAATAGGTATTTCATTACGTTATTCGCATACTTTATTAACTGTTTAAATTTTTTTTTAAAAAAGCTCTTAACAGCAAAATGAGAATTAAATCCTGCATTTGAAAGTCAATTAAATGCAATTGTTAGTAATTGGAAGTTTAATTATTTTGCATTTAAATAGCTGATTACTGTCACAGTATTCTTAACCATTGTTCACGAATTTATGGCCGAAACTTGCATCAATTTGTGGGTCAATTGTAGATATTTGATGAAATAGTTGTTCGTTTATTTTCTATATAGAGAGATCTACATAAGTCCAGGACAGAAAAAATGGAGAAATGAAGATTATTTAAAATTTTTATTTGTGCGTGCAGTTGTTTTTTTTCTGTTGTTATTTTCTATTGTGTATTTCTTTTATGTTTTACAAAGTATGTTAATACCAACTAATAACGTCATCAGTTAATACTAGACGCTTTAATCATTCAATCACATGCAGATGTATATTCGACAACTTTACGAAACCTCATTACCTTTTTTGTTGAATACAGAATATTAAGATATAAAATTTAGGAGACATTTTATCAAGCTTTTTGATCAATACACGTTTATCTTTATAAAATATAAAGGAAAGCATGACATCTTATTCCTAGTCTGCATTTCCTTCCCGCATTAAATTTGACATTGACATATCCTGTCATCACACAAAATAAAATCTAAACATCCACTGATAGTATAATCTGAAAATATGAAGATATAAGGCCGATCATAGTTGTTTTGTAAATTCTGGTGGGGTATGATTATGAAAGAATTTGTAATAAATTTTTTTATCAAAGTGACATTACGTGCATTTTTTCCGCTATGATGTTGAGTTGACTTAGTAATATATTTTAAAAGATTGACTTATATAAAGGTGACTTACCAATAGTTAAAAATGAACGATGTTTATGATACAATATATAAACAATGATACAATATATAAACAATTTATATTATAAAAAGACATCCCACTCTTTTAAATTATTGAACGTTACCGATACATTTTTAACATTAGGAGAATTGTCTGTTGGCCAGGTGGATTATCGATTATTTCTTACTAGTTAAATATAATATTTAATACAGTTATGACAAAATGTAAAGTTATTTGAATATTACCTGCTTACTGACCATTCACACTTTGGATGTCCATTATGTCACTTAAAATAACTATTATGTTCTGCATTATGATTCATTCAACAGTGACATTATAATCAACTTGAAGGAGGTCTATTACACATTGGAAACAACACCGCCCTAATTGATTTTACAATGTTAGCTACGAAAGTATTACATATTATTACATGACAGAAATTGAAGTGACATTATGGTCATTCTTTTGATCTCAAGTTGAGATGAATTAGTAATATATTTTGCAAGATTGACTATTATAATGGTGATTGACCACTATTTGATAACGAAACATGTTAATGATACAATATAAAAACTACCTATATAATAATAGAAAGACTGCCGCACTCTTTTATAGAATTGAACGCTACCAATACATTCTGGACGATATTTATGGAAACTGTCATTGTTCACGTGGATTTAATTTTTTCATAATAAATTATAGAATTTAACACAATTATCACAAAATGTCAAGTTAATTATTATTTTTCCTTAAAAGTAAAAGGAGATAATGCCTTACATATGAGTGCAATAATGTTTAAATTAAATATTATAGATAACAAATCATTGTATTATTATTATAAGAAAAAACATAACCGCGCAGTATTTTATTAATTTATATAAGTTAAGGTGACAACAGACACTTTCCGTGGTACTCACATAAATGTCATTTAAACCAACTTATTTTAGTAATAATTGTTATTTATTTAATCTTTGTGCATTAAATGTCGTTGATCAACATAAAAAATAACATATTTGAAAAAAATGCCTTTGTAAATGATTTATTTTTAATAAAAATCCTAAAATCTTAAATCGTCATATCAAAGTCATTTTTTATTTTTTTGTCAGCAAACTTTTGGAAAATAAACATACTTATAATATCTGGGGAACCGTGTCTCAAATTTTTCTATCTTTTCTCAAAAATATTACGTAACGTCAAACATTTTATGCGACTTTTTTCACCATACATATTACGTAATTAAAGATAATTAAGCCGCTGATTGAGCAAACAAAAATCCCTGACACGGTTCCCTCCGTAAATAAATTCCCTTTCATGTGCTTTAAACCACATGTTAATTGCTTGATTATTAAAAAAGTTATGCCGATTCAAAGTTAGTCCGACCCGACCCCTACGTTTCACGCTAAATAATTGCATAATACACAAATATCGCACCAGAGAGGGTCACAAGTTGCGCTATCATACTCTAACAACATTTTATGACCCAGTGACATCTGACCAATTAAAAAGTTGCTGATTAATATCAGTCTATAACAGAAATTTCTTCAAATCTTAACGTGATTTACTGTCGGTCGCACATGTCACGTGACTTTCGGTAAAATTTGAGGCACTCGGTGGGGGAAATGGAACGTATTTGCGCACCGCTAGCGGGGTATTTAATTGTTTCACTTTTGAAGATTATTATTATTATCATCAGCATTATTATTATATTATAACCAGTGTCACTCTGTCTGTGTATTCGTGTATGAAATTCCGTTAAAATATAAATTAAAAAAAATAACAGAAAACTGAGCTTCTGATGGTCTTTAAAGTCCATGGTAAATGTAAAAATGAAAAACGAGATATTATATATTTCTTCCTCCAAATTGAAATAAATGCTTGACATATTATAATAGAAATAAAAGGTATCAGTCGATCATTATGATCTGACCTTTATGACTTCTTTTATCATGAAATCATCTATGCACGGCATAGATATCCAGTTTCTACTGGGATATACAATAAATTCCATACTTTGTCCCAGATTTATTAGTACTGTGTTCGATTTACTGGCGAACAATTTATTCAGAGCATTCACTGATAGTATATATTAATATCTTTTTTTATTGATTCATAGAGAAATGATCATCCTTAAACAATCTAAAATGGTTTAGAAATTGTCAGGGACACCTTACCACAAGTCATATATAGGCGTTCACATAAAAAATGTTGTCTGTTTTTGTTGTTGTTTTACTTGACATTGTTAGAAAACGAGGTTGAATGTAAAGCAAGCCGATGAATCCGTACAAAAGTCCATAAACTCAATGTAATATCTATCAGATTAACGGGACAGACAAATTATTTTCACAAATTATGGATATTTTAGCAACTATATTTTAAATCAACCCGTGGTCGTGCGATTTGCCGCTATGCTTAATTATTTATGTTTCATACATTATGTTACGTACATTGGCCGACAATTTCTTATATTATAAAATGCTTAATAAAAGGTAGACGATATTCATAAAAGATGTACGGTATTTGTACGATACATGAATCACGAGTAGTATGGACCAGTATGGACGGGTAATTCACGGGTATATGGAACTACCGATTTCCCTCATTGATGCCTCAACAGGGGGCTGAGCGTTATCGATAATTGACAGGTTACGCGAATAGCAGATAAAAATGGTACAGGTACCGTTTTAAAACGTTTAAAAACACATTTTTTGGACTAACTGCTTCCAAAATTAAATCACGAATGTGTTCAGAAAAGGTTGATAAATCTACTAAGCAAAGAATCTCATTTTAGGTATTTTCAGTAATAATTGACTCCGTTGTCACCTTAACGTTAACAATATCTGTATCTTGGATATAATAAAATACCATGATTTAAGAAGATAATTACAATTGTGATATTAGAGTGACGTGTTCGGTATTGTCGAGAATGTTCTACGGGTTGGATGGGCATTTTGACGTCTCCTTAATTTTGCACGAATCAATGTCATTGTTCGTTTTGTACTTAAAAAGCTTATTCCAAGAAATACGCCTTGAAGTGTGTTGAATATTATAAAGATATACCAAACTATAGCGTTGTTAGTTAGCATACCAACAAAAGCAAATAACCATGTAAGTCCCATAATTAATGACAATTTCAGATAAAGCAAACATGAACAGAAAGTGTAACGTCTGGCATATGCGCTCTGTCGCCTTGCCATTGAAATGTAAAAAGATGTACAAATAAACCCAACTACATCACATAGCTTGAATACAGCAAGAGGGCCTAAGAGAAACAATAACAAAGCGTTCTTTGAAGAAATCCAGCAAACAGTGTCTCCATATCGGGGCCTATATTTATCATAACCAGGATGTGTATTCTCTAAGATCATCGCAGAAAATACAATCATTGCTGGAAGTAACCAACCGTACAGGCAGTATTTATAGAATATTTTGGACTTATTTGAGCTTACAATTCTCGAATGGGAAAATGTTATGAACAAATCAAAGGTAATTACATTCATCCAACTGAACGATGCTAAAAAGAAATAATGAATAAAAATTGCTATGACTTTACATACCATTGGATTATCAGAGGCCTGGTTAGAAAAAAGAAAGAGAAGTTGTGCCGAGAGTAATCCTATCATCAAACATATTAAATTCTTTCCCGGCGTGTTACGTAGTTCCGGGAGGATCATGTACACCGAGAGGGTAACTACCAGTGCTACAATAGAACATGTCAACCCAGAAAGTGACAAGTAACTTTCAACTATAGTTGCTTTGATTATAAAAGTAAAATTGTTGTATTTAGTTGTTTTAAATATTTCGAAACACATATATACCTGGGAGTCGTTTACATAAAATTTTGATGATTCAATTGTCCTATTTGATGACACTAGTAAAATAGATGATGAATTTTGTATTTTATACTCCTGCTTTTCCAACTTGACATATGTACATTCTCCCATTGGTTGGTGATGGTCACTTATCAAATTACCAACTAAAATGCACGTTCCTTCATATGCTATTAACATTGGAGGACAAAACAATTTTCTGCATACCACAGAAACCGGGTCAAATATTTCGTCATGAAAACTTGAACATGTCTTGAATCTATCTTCTTCTTCTGTCTTGTCATCGACTGTTTTGATTTGGCGTAAATTGAAATCGACAATCATACGATAACTGTACACAATATCTGGAACATATTGTCTAGTTTCTCTGTCATCATCACAAATTAGATCTTGTTCACCCACTTCATTACAAAGAGCGCAGAATTTATTTCTGAATGCGTTTTTCCTTTTGTCATCAAAGACGACTAAGAGTGTTTCTGATTGGCAAAGATTGTACAATTGTCTTGCCCTTGTTGTTATATTATCATATTTTGGACATCTTGATGTAATATGAAATTCATTTTTTCCGCAATTCCTAAATTTATTGGCAATATCCGGATTAAAGTGAAAAAGAATGCATGTTTTATTTGCAACGTAATTTAAACATACATTTTCTAGCTTCCAATACTGAAAGTTAAATATGTTATTGCAATACGCACAATACATGTTTTTGAATGTAATATTTACATCAGAACTTGAAACCGGAACTGTTAAAATAGTATATGTTTCCCTTTCTGAATATCTATTCTCACACAACTGTCTTGTTTTGTCGTCTGTCCAAGTCTTAGGACAATAAGACACCATGAGCTTAGATGTCTGACCACTTAGGGTGTGAACACTTTCACATTTAAATTGTTCCCGCTTGTAAAGTCTTTCCATTTCATGAAATGTTCCCTTTTCACCGCTTGTATTATTCCGTATATCAGCGATATTGGTGCAACAATCATCAAATATACGACATAAGTTGTCGCAATTACAATTTGGTGAAATACTTCCGCACTTAGCTTTCTCATTACAATATTCCGTATCTAATCTGTAGTTACTATATTTGTCATGTACGAACATAATGTTGCAATAGGTTGTAATTAAAACGCTTGAACTGATCAAACACTTCAAAATAATGAGACCCATTGTATGCTTTATTGAAGTGGATAATTCCTGTCAGCTGATACATAAACTTTTTTTCCGAGACAATCCAAATGCTCAGTATTGAGGCTACTAAAACATTTTTCCTATCTACAGACGCGTCTGTTTCGTTTTTGTGATGATGGAATATGCAGATGAAGAGCTATTAAATGTCGTTTTATACCTTCATTTTAACTGATTGTGAAATCGATAGATACTAAAGTATCAAATAACCAGGCAGTGTACGTTGAGATATCACATGCGTTCGGTCAAAACATGATACCTAAATTGAGTTGATTTGAATATCAAATATATAATGAATAATAAATTGCTTTAAAGTATAATGATTGGAAATAATTATTTGAATGTATCATCAACAGCACTAATAAGATAAATCTTATACAAAAAAATAGAATTTCAATTACTAAATCTAACTTGATAATATTAAAGCAAACCATCAAAAAAGAGATAAGCAACCCATAAAAAAGAGATAAAACTTTGAAAAAAAATGTAATTTGAATAACTTCCATTATCGAAACATTTAAGTAAGTGCTATAAACACATTTTATATTCATCATTTGCTCGATATATATTCCATAACAATAATAACTATCAAATTATTTGACGATTCACCATGAACATTAAGTGGGTTTTATTTGACATGTTGGTTTTATCAATTGTACAAATTTACATTGTTTTTCGTCAGTTGATTTTGGTTTAGATGTACATTTAATAAAACTAGAATAGTTATTTTATATGTGTCGCAAAATTCGGAAATACTGTCATTTCAAGTCTGACTCTGACATGCCTAGTTCTTTTTTTAATATACAATATGTCATATATCTTTTATTAAGTAGTAAGCCATTTATGTGATAAAGGCTTAAATTATTTACTTGCAAACTTTTTATCTAAATAATCAGTAATATCAGTAATTAGTAAAAATCTGGAATTTGAGAGGCAAAACATTTCAAAATGAATTATTACCGAGCAATTGTCAGGAACATCCATTTAATAAGAAGAAGGAATATTGAATAAGTAAATAAAAAACTTATAACCTAACGTGGTTCAAAATACAAACTATCTTTTAAAAGTATCATTTAATAGAAAAAAAGCAAACTTTAAAACAAAATGTTCACCTTATCCGAAAGTTTAGAATAATTTCTTCAACTGATTGGTCAACATGCATACATATATTTTATTTAGTAGTTGAACCGTTTGTGTGTTTAAAGATCCTGTAACAAAATTTTGTCATGGTTTTATTTCATAAAAATGATGCTCTAATTAAGATCTGTCAATATTGTAAGTTCCAATAAGCATTATTTATAAAGATATTACCGAATTTTACATTTCATGTAAATAAACGGAGGAAATTAGAAATTTATTTTCTATAAATTCTAAGTCAAATTTTCCAATAAGAAATGAATGCATATCATCTATTGATTGAATATAATGTGCACAAATATTTTCAGTACACATTTTACATATTCTTCGATGTTTGAAAATTGTTTTATTTTCAAAATTATATACATATATAATTTTTTGCAGGTGTGGTATTAACACAGTAACAATATCAATTACAAAACATGCAGGATCTTTAATGGGTGGCTATTTCTCAGCTGTATATATGTTTATGCTATTGAATGCTTTTTACTATTTAGATAAGTCATCGAGATTAAACCTTTAATTATTTGGTAGAAGGACGATACAGATATAATCTGGAAATAGCCATTTGTATTACTTCTACGAAAATTATACATCTTAACATTTAATGTCATCATCAAAATTAAGAGCAAAAAGCTTGCTCTAATCATAATTTGATCCTCAAATATTTACTTCATTTGATATTTTTTAAGAAAGTAACTTTAGGAATAGTATATATGTTATGTAATTTAGATAAATATTTCATACACTATTAATTTGACCATACAGTATTTAGTATAGAAGTTCTATTTGCCATTAATTTTGATTGGTCTATAATGGGCACATGTTTCATAAGAATTTCAAATCTATAGAAAAGTATCATTTGGTTAGTCTTATTAACTATCCCGTAAAAGAAATAGATAAGTTCTTTGAACATAACTCGAATAATTTATGATGAATGGTGATATTATATTGTAGAACATTCTATTATCTGCTGCACAAATATAATTCATATCGTTTCATGTATCTCACACTTGCATAAAACGTGATAATGTAAACTATCAGCCTTATTATTCATTCAATCGCACACCTTCCATTATAGACCACTTTCCTTTAAACGAAATTACAGTAATTTAAACTCAATTTATTTTCACTAACAGAGTATTGATAGAACAGGTTTCGTGAACTTTTAAATTAATGAAATTACTTTTTTATAAATTGTTAACGAATGTCTAAATCATACCAAATTATGTATCCATCAATTGAATTTTGCTATTATACCAGACATTCAACGTTAATCAACGCCACGCCTTAGAACTGTTAGCTGCCATAAAGCACACCCGTATGGCTAATGTGAGTAAATATTCAATATATTAAACACAAACGTAGAAGCTTACAATTTAGAGATATTATTTAAATATTTTGAATGAACTTTCAGAGCGTTTTGAAGATATTTTGAAATTAATTTTTTATATTTTTGAAATAGATAAGTTTAAATTGTGTTAGAATTATGCAGGATTATATTTCAATTGCCCAGGAAGATCATCACAAACAATGATGGACCTGATTAATTACAAAGCACAATGCATAATTTAACAATGCATTAAATGTGTTATACGTTACAATTCTAAAATGCTTAAAATAAATGAACTAAAATTGTTAAATGATAAAGTTTTCAATCAAAAATTTAAGAACCTAATGAAATTTATGTGTGCATAGGGATATGTTATTGTATATATAATGATGTTGTGTTGTTTGAAATAACCAAGAATACCTCAAAAAGACGAACGTGTTCATTATAAACGGATTCGATCACATTTAAACACTTACCATTCATTTTATCCAATTTTATCAACGATATACTAAAGTTATATAATAATTACAAAAAGTTGTTGGAAACTTATTTTACGTATTATAACGTTTTTACGGCTGCCACACGGCACTTGCTGTTGTGATCTATTAACATCTAGAAAAAAGTAATCCCTCAGAAGCATTTGAAACATGTATATTACATGAAAATTGCAGACTCGGATTGTTTAAGTCTGTACATGAAAAAATGCAACATCCCTTACGCCCCCTAACTTAAGCATAATTCAACAAGATAATGGTTGATACTTGTTTAGTTCTTTTCGGTATTTTAACAAGATAAACAAAAACTTAAAAAAACAGTTATAAAAACAGTTCAAAAGTTTAATTAGCAGGACATCATATTTGTATTGTTTTATCAATCAATGAAATAAAAATGAAATGTGCATCACTTTAATGAATTGTTTTGTTTATTTGCAGTTTGCAGTTTTAGATCATCTAAAGCGTGAGAACAGCAAATAGATTTTAGTTTGTCACTGATATGTATACAGTTTAAATTATATATTTTTTATTTTGAGCATTTTTACAAAGACTTTTAAATGCATAACAAGGAGTCATTGCACGAGAAATTAGTCAGGTTTATTTAGTAGGACAATTAAATGATTATCAAAAACAATTGCCAAAGTAAAAGCGCAAGAACAGGTCGTTTTAATGAACTTGGAATAAAAGCGAATGAAATAATTGAAAATCTTTTCAAGATTCTCATACCATCAAAATTATTCTGAAACGCTAGATCTTAAAACAGATCTACATTATTGTGTAATAATGCATCTTCATTGCACAGATGTACACTTTACTTTATAAAATAATTTCTTTTGGACAACTTCACATTGTTTTAAAATATGTTAATAATTAAAGAAAATGGGAGCAAAGCAAAGGCAAACAGCCCTTCCCAGAAACACTGAACATGTCAAAAATCTACAAAAAAACGGCCCTATCACAAGTAGTGAGCAGAAACGTAAATGTAAATGCATGACGATTTCATTTTAAACATGGCAAAGTAATGAAACAGACAAACAAGAAATATTAAGAAATATTATAATAGCGTGGGATACAATTAAACCATCAGTTTAATAGCTTCTGTAAGTCTACTCGCCAATTGTGATTCCATCTATTCCTGTATAGCAAATAAACCTCAATTAGTAAATTGAAAC